AAAAAAAAAAAAAAAAAAGCCCATACAGGTACAGATTGCCAAAGTATGGAACACAGGAACATCTAACACAGAGCATACCCAAAATGCTAGAAGGTGAAGATCACACCAAAACCATCTTCTGGCTGACAGTCATTAAGTACTTCTTCCTACAAGTCAGGAAATGAACCCTGTTGGGATCCTTGAGTCCTTGAGGTAAAACAAGTAATTATAAATTGAGTGGAAACATGGCACACATTCAGTCTTAAAATGATTTAATCTTTAATATTCTCTAACATTGATTACATCCCCCCCCCATTGACAACCTAACTTTAATGGAACATTTTGCTTTTACCAATTCAGAAGTGTTAGAGTAAAACTAGCAAGGAAACTATTGTAAATAATGCTTTTAATTAAATACTGTTCAATAAATTAAATGCTTATCTAACTGCCTCGGAAACCCAAGGAGGGGTCGCTATGAGTCGGGGCCGACTCGACGGCACATAACAACAACAACAACAACAACCTAATCTCTCAGTACTACTATTAAAAAATATGTTATTATATAGATGAGAACTAAAGAAACTAGACAAGAAAATGCTTAGGAGAGACCAAGGATTGAAGTTACCAAAACAATATTACATGTTAAACCTGCTTTTGCTAAGAATAGGAATTTATTATTTCACAGGGTTATTCCATTTTCTATTTTTATAGCAATGAATAAAAAAGCTATTCAGCTAAAATAGTCACTTTTGACCTTTTCTCCCTTCTCTGCCATACAAATTTTAGCTTTTAAATGCTTTTTTTTTTCCCCCCATTTCCCTACCATGTCATATATGTGCTACATATATGTGCTACAGAAATCTTACTAAGACTTTTGGCTAAATTTTTATTCTTTTCTTTTTTTTAACATTTTACATTATTGTGAATGTTAGCTGTCTTATTTATTTGGAAATACTAGTACTGGTGGCATAGTAGATAAGGCATTTGGTGCTAACTAGAAGGTCAGTGGTTCAAACCCACCAGCCACTCCATGGAAGGGAGATGAGGTGATCTACTTCCCTAAAAGATTTACAGCCTTGGAAACCCAATGAGGGTCACTGTGAATTGGAACTGACTTGATGGCAGTGAATTTGGTTTTGTTTTTTGTTTTATGTTTTGTGTGCCAGTTGGTGTTAAGTTGATTCTCACTTATGGCAACCCCATGTGTGTCAAGATAGAACTGAGCTCCATAAGGTCTGTGGCTGAGTTTTTGAAAGCAGATCATCAGTTCTTTGTTCTAAGGAGCTTATAGGTGCACTGAAGGCACCAGCCTTTAGATTAGCAGCCCAGCATCTGCAACACTCAGGGGCTCCAATTTAGAAATACTGTCTATAAATATAATGAAAATAGCATATGAGAATGTAGAAATGTTAACTTAAATTTATATTAAATTACTTTTATATAATTATTTGATTCATTATAACATAATTTTAGAGCAAGACAGGACATTCTAGCCAGAGTCAAATCATCAAGACTTTTATGAAAATTAGATCCCAGATTGAATTTTCCTCTGCTCTCTCCCAGTTCTATTGTTTCTTCTCAGGGCTCTCCCCCCAATCTTTCAGATTTTAAGTCACAAATTGATGTTCTCTTCCAGAGTCCTTCTTCTGAGTTCCCAATATGTCCCATTTTCCTAAGCATATACACATGTAATCTACATCTCTTGGAAACTGAATTAGATATTGCCCTAAAACACCTGGCTTGTTGCCTAGTTTATGCAACTTATCCAATAAATGATAATAATCATCATGGGTTCTCTTAATACTATAATTTAATTCTTTCCCAATAACTGTAATTAGTGCCACATTGCTGTTGAGTCAATTTCAATTCATAGTGACTATATAGGACAGAGTAGAACTGCCCCCAAAGGGTTTCCAAGGCTTTAAGTAAGCTTTATGGAAGCAGATTGCCACATCTTCCTCCTATGGAGTGGTTGGTGGGTTTAAACTGCTGACCTTTTGTTTAGAAAATGAGCACTTAATAACTGTGCCACCACAACTCCTTCCCTAACTACTAGGTACTCTTTTTACAAATAAGAACCTGAGTACCTCAGGTATTAATGGTCTTACCCAAGGTTTTACAGCTACTAAGAAGCAGAATGTGGAGTTTTACTCCAATGCAAGTGATTATATCATTAGCTTTGCAACTATGAAGAGTAATTCCCCATGAAGTATATTATTGATAGACTCAATCCTCCTGTAGTATTTATTTGCCTTTCACAAATAAGTGTTTGTTAACCAAAGTGAATATGGAATTATGGCTCCTATTTAATGATTGGTTTTTCAGGGAGCCTTCCATTTATTTCTTGTGTGTTCAGCACCAGAAGCTTGCCAGAACAGTTGCCAACATTCTGATTAAAGCAGAAGTCATAAAGAATAAACAAATAAACCAACAACCCTTGACCAAAAAAAAAAAAAAAAAAATCAAACTCACTGCCATCGAGCTGATTATGACTCATAGCGACCACTTTTATGTTTTCGAGGTGGTAAATCTTTAGGGAAGTGATTGCCCAGTCTTCCCTCCATGGAGTGGTTAGCAGTCAAATGCCTTAGGCACTACACCATCAGAGCTCCTTGACAGAAGCCTGTAATTTGGTAGCATAGTGGCTAAGGCACTTGACTGCTAACCAGAAGACTGGCAGTTCAAACCCACCAGCCACTCCTCGGAAGGAAGATGTGGCAATCTACTTCCGTAGTGATACTGCCTTGGAAACCAAAGGAGAGGTCGCTATGAGTCGGGTCCACCTCGACGGCACATAACAACAACAACAACATACTGAAGTAAATGTAGTATGCTTTCTCTCAAAATTTCCTTCATTGCTTTTCTTAATTATGAACCAATAATACCATTTTTAAAAATCCAAAGTTAGCAATACCTTTAAAATTCTTGTGGTTTTCTTCGTGCTCTGGAACTCTGAGTAGTTAAGAAAATATAGCACCATTGAAAATAGCAGTCATTTTCCTATTTTCTTCAAAAAATGGTCATAGCTGTTTGTCAGTTTGAGGAAACACCAATATTTAGTTTAGAAACTATTGCATTGAAGAGTTTTATTTTTAAGTGGGTTAATTTTTATTGGTCTTGAAAGTAAACTTCTAAATGGTAATACAGTCAAAGAAAAATGCTTTCACATTTCCGTGCTAGCCTATTGCCATTCCTGTTGCTGCCATCATCTCCATAGGAATTTTTATTCTCAAAAATTTTAAAAATATAACCTCAGCAAGCTTAAAGGATAAGGAAATACTTAGCCAAAATATGTCAGTAAAGAAGGAAATATATACTAATCAAAAAACACTTGAAATTAGTAGAAATTTACAAATATGGTCATGCTTATTTATTTACTATTTGAGTATAAATGATTTTCTCAGATTTTACTTTATGTATCCTATTATTTCTTAATTTAATTGGGGATTTAAGAGAATGTAGAATGATAATTTCCATTACTTTTACTCTGGTGTGTGCTAATGCACAGTTCTGCCTCATACACACATTCTGAATGTGTGTGTATGTGTGTGTATGTGACAGGTAATATATATTTGTGTTGTGTGTGCATATATATGTGTATAAAAACCAAAAAAAAAAAAACATTGATACTGAGTTAATTCCAACTCACAGCAACAATCCTATAGGACAGAGTAGAACTACCCCATAGAGTTTCCAAGGCCATTATGAAAGAAGACAGCCTTATCTTTCTCCTGCAGAGAGCAGCTGGTGGGGTTCAAACCACCATCCTTTTGGTTATAAGCTGAGTGCTTAAGCAAGGATCTTTACCAGGACTCCTTATGTGTATCACAAGTAATATGTGTATGTGTATGTGTGTATATGTAATAGGTTATATATAAATGTGTGTGTATGTGTACATATACATACATACATAGTGCCTAAGGCACTTGACTGCTAACCAGAAGGCTGGCGGTTCAAACCCACTAGCCACTCCTCGGAAGGAAGGTTCCATAGTGATACTGCCTCGGAAACCCAAGGAGGGGTCGCTATGAGTCGGGACTGACTCGATGGCAAATAACAACAACAACAACAACATAATATTAAGTTTGAATTTAGTTTCAGAGAACATATGCAAAATGTGTTAAAAATAGACACCCAATTAATCTAGAATTTTCTTTTCTTAATGGAGATCATCACTAAATGTTTTATATTTATTTTGAGATCAGAAAATGATTTTCATTCATTTTTGAATGAGTTAAAGGTAATTTCTTGTGTCTATGTTCATATTTGGTGCTATTTGATACTTTTACTAATAGTCAGTATCATTACATTAACAGTGAAGAATTCCTGTCTAAAACATCACATGTACAGTGCACTTACTTATTTTCACAGCTCTGGAGAGCATGGAAGGATATTATTACAAAGACAATGTTTCAGTGGAAGAATTTCAAGCCCAGATAAATGCAGCCTCTTTGGAAAAGGTCAAACAGTACAATCAGAAGCTCAGGTATGTAATAGTCCACGCTTTTTTTTTTCCAGTAAGTTTCCACATTTGGGTAAGAAATCTTGAATAGGATTGTTTACCTTATTCAATGTATTTAATTCTTAATGGTGATGTTTCTTTTGACATAAAGCTCTCTGATTTAGGATTTAATATTTCAAATAATCTGAAGGGTATTCTTTTTCAAAAGAAAAATAAAGCTTTTAAGTAGCATTTTTAAAGTTTTTATACGAGCATTTTAACTGACAGAAAAGATAAAGATATAAAAGAGAAGAGATTAAACATTTAGTTGACCAGTTCTAAGAAAATTAGCATGTTGTTACTGTGTGCCATCGAGTCGGACCTGACTCATAGCGACCCCCTCCTTGGCTTTCCGAGATAATATCACTATGGAAGTGACCTTCCTCCTGAGGAGTGGCTGGTGAGTTTGAACCTCCAGCCTTCTGGTTAACAGTCAAATGTCTTAGGCACTATGCTACCAGAACTCCTGAAAATTAACACGGGTATATTACAATATAGTGATCTCCTCTAGGACGTTCAGTAGATTAAGATTAAAATATTTTCCTCCATGTACCATTAAAGAGCTGGCACCATCACAGAGAAAGAAGAATAGGTTCAACATGGAAAATTTGGGGGAAAAAAAAAAAAAAGATGTGATAGAACATGTACTTGGTATTGAAAAATTATCTACTTTTAAATGCATAAATTAATGTTTGCTTTTTTTTTTTTTTTTTTTTTTTTGCCTGTAAACACAGTGTTAATGACACAATGATGAATGGCAGGGAAACTTAACCAGAATAAGTAGAGGAAAGAAATGTTATTCTTCATAAGCTTTAATTTTCAACAAATTAATAGCCTGCCTTTCTTAAAAATTACACTATCAACAGGTGACTTTTTAAAATTACTTAACAGACCAAGAGTTTATTTTTAAAAGAAAAATATCATTGCTCTACCTAGATTCCTAATGACTCAAGAATGTTATTGTGACATTTTCTGCTTTTGTCCACAATAAGACTAATCTGTGAATATAAATTAATTCCTAAAATACATGATGAATGGAAGTGTTTATTCTGGTGGTTACCACCAATGAATAGGCTTTCTTCTGCCATGAATGCTTTGTTTCTCCCTTTCTGCTCACACAATCCTGCATTATCTACCTAGGTTCTCTCCCTTAGGCAATCCTTTTATCATCTTCCAAAGCACTTAAGTGTCAAAGCCCCAAGATCTTTTAGAATTCCTCTTCTTGTCTTCCTCCTGAAGATGAGACAGGCTGCTTCTTTTAAGATTTACAGTCTTGGAAACCCAATGGGAGCCACTATGAGTCAGAATCAACTCAAAGTTTTACTGACACAGATAATGTACTGATTCTGCTCATGGGAGAAAAATGTTCATCTTAAATTTTTAAAATGTATGCCTGCAGCCTGAGCAACACTGACTTAAGAAACTAAAGTCCAATCTTGTAAAAATCTTCCAACCAAGAGCTATCATTACAAAAGACATATATAATTGATAAAATATATTTTTAGATTTTCTGTGAGACAAATGCACAATATTTAAGCTTTCATATGGGAGATGTATACCTGAGAATTCAGTCCTGAACTCCAGTTTGAGGAAACAGGTCTAGCATCCTATTGAATCCTAACAAATATCTTGTCTCCAAGGGCCAATGTTGTTTTAATCTGCTCAGTATATTGCTTTCAGAATAATAATTTTAAACCACTGGTATTACCATGTCACTCTTTTGTTCAAAGAAAGTCTACAAAAAGGGTCAAAGCATCTTAGTGTGGCAATCAAGATCTCGCATGACTTGCCCCAGGATTTCTTTTCTATACTTGTGTTTTAGCCACGCAGTACTCCCATTTCTAATCTTGCACCATACTTTCCTCTTCCATGACTTTTTGCCCCTCAACATCTGCTTCTTTTGTCTCCAACTGTTTACAGAACTACTATTCAAATGACTCAACGCCCGGTTCTAGTATAATCTCCTTCATAAAATCTTTTTATTTTTAATTGGTCTGGAGTGACACAAGGGCATTGGAATTTTGAGAAGTTCCCCAAAAGATTCTTATGTGCAGCCAGAGTTGAAAATCAATTTTCTCCATCGGTAGTTCTTAGAGTATGGTCCCTAGACCAGCAGCATTAGCATTTTTGGGAACTGGTTGGAAACTCTTTGGGTGTCCCAGTTATCTGTACTTGAACAAGTATCCAGGTGATTCTCAGGCATGCTCAAATTTCAGGACCACAGCCCTGGACCTCAATGAGCATCAAATCATTCTTGTAGTTTTTCATTTTATTTTATTTATGGCTATTATAGAATTGGGAGCTCTGGTGGCATAGTGCCTAAGGCATTTGACTGCTAACCAGAAGGCTGGTGGTTCAAACCCACTAGCCACTCCTTAGAAGGAAGGTTGGGCTATCTACTGCCTCGGAAACCCTAGGAGGGATTGCTATGAGTCGGATCTGACTCAAAGGCATTGTGTTTGGTTTTTTGGTTTTCATTATAGAGTTAGATTTTTCTCACTGAGGATAAACTTGTGGATGTATTTTTGATCATTGTTATTTCATTATAAGCTCTTTGACATAGATGAGGAATAAGATTATCATGGTGTCTCCTACTATGTTTATCAAAGTGCTTTTCACAAAAAACAGTCCACAAATGTATGTTTAGTTGCATTAATCCTTTAGGAATAAAAGCAGAGAGAAATGGGGATGTGGTATACTATCAGCCTGTGGGGTTTGTGGAAACAGAAGTATTGTGTATGCTCATTGTAATAGAGCTTTGACAACATATTTAGTAACAACTGTATATTAAGAAATACAGGACATGTATTAATTCCATGCCATCCTCTTCTCATAAGAAAGCATTTTACCCGATCTACCTTGGAGAAAACAAGTTAAAAGCACAAATTCCTCTGTATAAATTAGGTGTCTGTGGCAATAATAATCTATTATATATCCCACTTGTTGCATATTAGATTTCCTTATTTTCTTCTTTACCTACAATAATGCCTTCTCTTCCTTCTAATTAAATTAATTAATTTTTCCTATTACTCTTGTAACCACATAACCTCTTAATTATTCTTGGGCCATCTGTTCTTGGTGTTCAGATAGAGCCACAGGCTGCTGTTGACCTTTTTTTTTTGGTGATTTGGATGAAAATTTACAGAGCAAATTCACTTTCCATACAGCAGTTCACATACACTTTGTCTCATGACATTGACCACAATTTACCGCAATGCAACAGCTTCCCTCCCACTTCCTCCCAACAGTTACCTCTTCCCTGTGTCCATCCCTCCATGCACTCCTGCACCCTGAGCTGTCTCCCTGTGCATAAGCAGCCCTTCTTTCTCCCATGATTGTTCTCTCCAAGGAGTGTATCTCCCTCAGGTAAATGTTCAACTCATATGCTTGTCTTTTCTTTGGCTGGAAGGCACAGGTGTGGGTTCAATTCTAGACCTGAAGGGCAGCTAGGAGCCATAGTCTCAGTGGTTCCACCAGGCGCTATCGGACCAGCAAACCTGGTCCTTTTTTTTTTTTTCTCCAAATGATTTTGAGTTTTGATCTACATTGTTCTCCTTCTCTATCAAGGATCTCCTACATAGATCCCCCTCCAAGTGGTTGACAGTGGTAGCCAGGCACCATCTAGTACTTCTAGTCTCATAGTCATATAGGATTGCATGGTGTACTAGTCACTAGGACTAATTCTTTCCATGAATTTTTTGTTTTCTTCATTCTTCTTTGCTCTGCATGAGGAGAGACCCATCGTTGTATCTAGATGGCTTCTTGCAAGCTCTTAAGATCCCAATCGCTACTCGCCAAAGTAGGAGGGGAACAATGTTTTGTGTAGCATGTTATGTCAATTGAGCATGATGTCCCCTGTGACTATGTTGGCCATTTTTTTAAAGGCACTTTCATTGCCCATCTCACAAATTAGCCCGAGGTGTCACTCTTGCCTCATAGCATTCATCCCCTAGAAACCATTTCTTTCTGGAGATTAATTTGTTTATTTACTAATTGGACCCCATAATGGACCTTTTTCTCCTTAGCCTTAAAACAAACACAAATAAATAAACAAACAAACTCTTATTATTTCATTAGAAAGCATTGTTTAGATTACAGGTTTAATATTTATTTTTAGGCACGGTTGTTTCATATTTGGGGAAGGATGGTCAAAACAGATCAAGTGTTACAGCCATGAATTCTGCAAACTCTGCCAAGAATGAGCCCCTCCCTCAAAAGCTCCTGCAAAGTATTTGGAGCAGGCACTCATAAGCCAGACTCAGGCCATATGTTCATATTTGTTTGAGAGCAGCACTACAATCAACGGACTCTTACAAAAAGAGAAGAATGAGGAAGCCAGACAGGCAGAAGCAATGGATTCCACTCCAGTAGTAGAGATTTCCCCAGAATAGCAAATAATATTAGGAAACAAAGAAAATACAATAAAAGCCATAATGTCTACTGATTTTTAAGAACATATTAATCACTAGATGCAATGCAGGGTGAGTTATGTGGATCATTCAATAATTCAATGAGTTCCCTATTATCAGTTACATTTTAAGGAGACCTTATTCAAGTTCACACAGATAATTAGTACTAAGACCAGCATTTAAATCAAAGACTTGTTTCTCTTAAAAGTCCATAATTTGTATATTATATTAGGCTGTCTCAAAATGGAGTGAACATTGCTGTTGCTGTTTTTAGATGCCATTGAATCAGTTCTGATGCACAGTGAACTTATGTACAACAAAATGAAGCACTGACTGGTCCTATGCCATCTTCACAATCATTGCTATGCTTGAACCCATTGCTGCAGTCACTGTGTCAATACATCTCATTGAGGGTCTTCCTATTTTTCATTGACCATCTACTTTACCAAGCATGATATTCTTCTCCAGGGACTGGTTCCTCCTGATAATATGTTCAAAGTACTTGAGATGAAATCTCACCATCCTCACTTCTAAGGAGCATTCTGGCTTCACTTCTTTGAAGCCATATTTGTTTGT